AATTCACGAACTCCCATATTGCTTCAGATCGTAGTTGTTCAAGTGGTAGAGCATCGAAGTCAAAACCGATAAGTTAAAAGTTCAAGCTCCGATCAGGGTTACTCATCCTTCTTATCTCCGAAGATGATAAATGAGTACTCTGTGGGAAGGAAACAGGAAACTATACGCTAACTTTAGCTCACGGCTGTAAACAATGCCTTGAAAAAAAAGGTATTAATGGCTAATGGCATCAAAACGGATATCAGCCCCGCACCATCAACTTCATAAAAAGATCAACATTGGCGAGCCAATGGCCAAAATGACCCAATCGTGAGAGTGAAGACAGATCGGTGGCCAACTTTCGTTTTCTTTCCTTCATGGTTTGGCATAGGAAAGTTCACCATATTGCCGAAATTCTACATGAGCAACGTGTCGACACAAACATAGCAAGTGGCTATGGTTAACGGTGTCGGCCATGCTGGTCTCAGTTTCTGGGTTTCTCTCTGATAGTGCTTTATCTGGCTTAGTGTTCGCTCTGCTGTGCCTGCTTATACAAAGTTAATCGTTCGATTTTTCGGCTATGGCACCTAACGCAGGAAACCACGTGTTTAGCTAAACTTTACATTTCCGCGGTATGGAGCTTCTTTCAAAGCCTTCAGTGATGTCTCATTTGGACCTCAGAGAGGAGAGAGATCTTCTCCTCCCATCTGATGGATGTCTCTGCCAAAAGGATCTTTCACCATATGAATTCTAGGGGTCAATTACCCGCCCATGCAATGCACCGATTAAACGGTTGGACGCGGACAATGCTTGCTCCTCGGCCGTCGAAATCACACCCCAATGGCTAGAGCTCTACGAGTCGAGCCTAAACTTCGTCGTAGACCTACCACACTGAAAACTAAAGACGCTGATGCCACCTCAAATCCGAATCCAGAAATTGACACTTCCCTTTCTACGCTGGTTGAAGTCATTGCAGCTATCCACAGACCCAGAAATGATCCAGCAACTAGTCCCGACCTCATACCAGCGGATGCGCCAGCGCGCCAATCATTACAGGACTCTTCTTCCCATTTTTGAAGGCATGGAGCATCGGCTGCGTGCTAGAGCAATTGCAAAAATGTGATACATGTACAGTGGTACAGGGTCAAAACTGAATTCAGCAGCTACAGGCCAATATTGCTCCTCTTAATGTCAGGCAAGGTATTTGCGCATGCCCTGTTGGTAAGGCTGAATCCTATTCTCGCAAGAGGTCGCCGGCCGCTCGATTATGAATGTAATTTTGGCGCCAAATACCGAAACTCCCTTGTGTTGAACAGTTTCGAAAGAACCCAGGACAAAACAGACCTTAAATCCGCTGGCAACCAACGCAGCCGCCAAAAAACAAATCAAAATTTTGACATTATGACCTTCCTTAAGTGATGTAACGGCAACGACTTCAAAAGGTTTCCCAGTGGCTCTCCGTCAAACGAGCAGATTTAAATATTGGTGGGTTCCACGTAGCGACAAAGTTGCCGATGAAGGCAAATGTAAACCTAGTGATCATTCAAGAAAGTTAGATTTCCTGCATATCAGAAAGTGAACAAGCGGGAGTTGGTAAAAAGCACGGATCATCTTACAGGTACAGACTAACAGACCTGACGTTCAACTGACTGTAGTCATTCTATCCGTGAACATCTCAATATCATAATGTATTTCTTGGATCACTTTCACAATGCGAACTGAATACCTGGGAATCTGATATAGTAGAAACAAAATTGTCCATCTGTGCCATAATGCCTCTTGGTTTCTTTCTAAGTTTAACATCGCGTCGCCGGGGCCGGCCGTTTTTGGCGACCAATGAGCCGCAACGGATGAAGTTTTGTCACCCGCTAGCAGGGCTGACGATAATTGGGGAATTTTGTACAGGCCGCTCTTCAAATTCCGTCCAGTGTTTCATGGAAGTTGCCTCTTGTGGCTTTTGACGAATTGACAACCAACCACAAGGCAGCGGTAATATTGGTGCCTTTTTTTCATTTGGATATTGTGACTTTTCCTCTGAGGATCGAACTTGTCGAAATCAAGCAAAGCCATACAATGGCAGTCTCACCACCTAACCCTATCATAACAGCCCGTTATTCTTAAGAAACACTGCATCAGTAAATCGAACGTGTCACATGCTGCTTTAATTGTTTTTCTTGTGGATAGGAACTTTGAAAACCATCCCTTTGAACAATTCTTTGGTTAAACTTACATTCTGCGTGTAGAGGAATCAGGAAAATAAATAATGACAAAGACTCCAATGTATCAAGGGTACCGAAGAGTGACTAATTGGAATACAGAAGCAGTGGTGAGA